CTGTCTCTGGCTTCTCTGAAAACTTTTTCTTCTCTGCTCCTTTTGAATGGTCTATCCTTTATTCTTTCGTTGTATTAACTCACACTTTGAAAAATGGTTTTTGCATTGGTCAGGGTGCCTGCTCCTGTACTTGGAATTTTGGAAATGCTCCTGCAGTCTCTGTTCGGCGCTTGATGAATGTTCAGCATTTCTCCTGCTTGCTCGTTTTGCTAGTTAGCGGCATGCAAAAGCATACTCCTGCATGAAACACTCTGCAGCAATACACAGCCTATGGTTTCACATCGACGCGAGCTCTGTGGGATGTAACCCTTCCACTTGCCCCTTGTTCCGATGTGCTGCTTGTGTTCCTGTCCAAACCTTTCCCACTCCTCCTTCTGCAGCGCGAGCTCTGCCTTTTGGATTGTCCTGTCAGCCTTGTTTTACTGCAGTTACCAGCTGCTTCTAGTTTCACTTGCTTGGTCCCAGCCTCCCTGTTCTGTCGAGACCCGCATCCTCGGTGACTGTGGGGAGCTGCCATGCAGGTGTCCCCCGAGGGTTTTGAGTACAGTCTGACCTAAAATTATGCAAGAAACAGGGAGCAGTTTGTTGGGTTTACTCACTGTGTCATTTGTATCCAACTTTTTAATTTGTAAATGGTTGTAAATTCCCAAACCTCTGTAACTTAGTCTTGCCTACTTTTGAAACACGGTGCTGAGCAGCTTGGCCACGTTGCAGCGACCGGTCTGCAAGAACTGTAGGTCTAAGCACGGGCTGCAGGGTTCTGCCAGCTGCCCAAAGGGCCCGTGTTAGGGGAAGGGGTGCTGCCTGTCAGCTCCTGCTTGCCTGGGCAGTCTGCCCAGCGCCCCAGCATCTTTTTGAGCTGAGAGTGGCGCTGTCAGGTGGAGGGTGCAGACTGATCGGCCGTACGAAATGCCCCCGACTGCATATGGGAACCTGCCAGCCCCGGAGGGCAGTCTTGAGCTCAGGCCTCACTGCGTGTCACCCAGTTCCTAACCTCACCTGCTTGAGGATTTCTAGGGGGAGAAAGGGAGATAAATTGCACAGAATTACACTCATTCTTTTAACAAATGTAGTTCCTGGCTTGACCAGAACCTGTAGAAAGAGGTGCCAGGGTCCTGCGAGCTGCTGCTTCAGAAGTCTGCGCGATGCCAGATCCGGGCAGCTCCGGGTGCTGGGAGATGGATGCCCAGTCAGCCTGGCGCGACCGGAGCCTGCGGGATGCGAGGCTGGAGGAGGCGGCTGCCAGTTTGGTCGTGGGGTCTCCAGTTGCTAGAATTCATTGTGCGGTGCAGAAGGCAGGTTCAGAGACGGACAGGGAAGGGCCGTGGCTGCAGGCGGTTGGCACGGGGAGACACACGGGTTCAGTAGCAAAGGGCCAGAAAAATGTTCCCGCAGTCTTGCGTTTGGGGCGGAGGAGGCCAGGCCGCTAAAATGGTTTGTTTGCAGAATATTCCTCGGGGTTTTTGCAGTGCGATCTAATGCTTAGCAGATGAGCACATATTATGTGAGAGACTAAGGATACGACCGAGATTTGCAATATCACCCTCTTCCCGAGGAGATGTACCACCAGCTGTCTGTCTTGTACTTGCATTATTACTTTCCTGTGTTGCTAGCTGAATGCCTGCTATTTCTGTGTTGATGAATGAAGTAAGATGGGCTGTTTATAAATTTGCATGATACAGATGTATTATAATAAAATATGGAAAGAGGAGGAGGGTTCTTCCATAGTATCTGTTTTTGCAGGTCTCACAAATATTTTCTTTTAATTGAAACCTTGTTTAAATGCCACAGTAAAACTGGCTGCCAGTCAAATGCCAATCACCACAGATATGGATGGCACTTCTTGTTATTAATTGGATGCGCATTATGCTGCTGTGCTCTGTACACAGAACAATATGCAAATCTGCTGGTGTTCGTTTTTTTGCTGAGGTATGTGCAAGAAAAGCATCCTGCTAACTCGGCCTTGGCTGTAGACGTAAAATAGGTGTCTCCGTAATGGATTGTGTTGTTTCTTGATAAGATGACACCAATGTAATCATTGGAACTCTGCACAGTGTTCCCAATTATTGCAGGAAAACACTGAATTATGTTCTGTGCTGAGTTAGCTCGAAGCAAGAGAACGTAGGTGCCTGCGAAACGCAGGGCGCTTCGCAGTGCCCGTGCTCGGACTTGGTGTGCGGAAGGGCTGAGCACGGGAGCGGTGGTCTGCCCGAGGGGGGGCCAGGCTGCCAAAACGGGGAGCTGGCGGCCGGGTACTCCTGCTCCGAGGGTTCCCTCATCCGCCTCTCTATGCCTGCACGATCACAGCTTTCCTCTGAGTCCTCCCCACTTGTGTCCTTTTCCTTTCTGAAACCCCCTCGCGTGCCAAGTCGTCTTTGTGCGTCCTGCCCCTGGTCACTTGCTGACACACCTGCCGTGCGCAAGGCAATGTAAGCTGTATTTTGCCACCCAAAAGCTTTTTGTCAAGCCATCCAGCTCTTTCGTCAATACTTGTGTAAAAAAAAAAGAGAAAGAGTGATTTGCAACATGATTTTTGTTTCTCTCCTAGGCCTCAGCCGTACCGGGCCCTGAAAGAATCTGATAGTGCTGATGGGGAAGAGGCGGTCAGTCCAGCAAAATCAAAAGAGCCTCTGCCTCCAAGCCCCCTGCTCTCAAGCAAGGCCACAGAAATCAACCTCCTTGAAGACATTTTCCCTAACTTAGAAGTAGAAACACAGCCTCAGCCTCTCAGCCAAGCTAAGAGCCTGGAAGACCTGCGGACGCCCAAAGAAGAGGGAGATCAGCGATGCACGTTTGATTACCAGGTTTGGACAGGGTTTCACGTGGGCTGGGGGGTTTGCACAGAACTAGGGCTGGCTGTCTTCCATTGTTCTCTGAGGAACGTTTTGCATTATTGGGTAGATGCATCCATTTTCCAGCCGTTTGTTCGTGTGTTTCAAAGTTCATTTCTGAATTAAGAAATTATTGGAATGGGACTCAGTTATAAGACAGTAACTTTTTCCACTAAACCTCCAGCCTTTACTTCTAGAGGAGGAAATACTTGCCCTAGTCCTCAGCGTCTGTCTGTCCCTTGGCTAGCACGCAGAGTTATCTTTGCGGCTGATGCTCAGCAGTGAGAATGAATACCTGGGAATTTTCAGGTCCCCTCCAAACTGCATGTTTTTTAAGTGACCTTTTAATCCGGCCATTTTGGTCTAGGCATCATTTGAACAATCTAGATTGTAGCAGGAGATTCTTTATGAAGAGCTTCACTGAATATGTGCAGCTTAGAAAGCGCCAAACTAAAGCAGGCTCTGAGATCTTCACGGGACATGAAAGAAAATGGTGTCATTTCTACTTTATGCTAATATTTAATTTAGCGTTATATCCAGATATTTCATTTGACAGCTTCTTCCATACAGCAAAGAAGGCTTCTCAGTTTCTGTACATTAGATATAGTTACATGCTCCTTACTACTAACAACAGATGCCACAATATGTCACAGCTGAACACCTCATTCGAGGCAGAGCAGGAATTAAAACAGCAGAGTCCTGCTTCTGATTTCCCGTGTGTCCGCCCGGGCTGCGTGCTGCCGTCCCCCTCCGGTGCTCAGTCTGTGAGCGGATCCTCGTCCACTCATAGCGCAGCAGCCTGTCCTCGCTTCACGCTCTGTGTTGTGAGGAGATCAGTAAAAGTTAACATTTTTTTATGCCTTCTTGCAGAGAATGGATCTGGGTGTGTCTGAGAGGAACAGGATTGTGCCAACCATGAAGCTGTCTCACCCTTACAACAAGCTGTGGAGTATGGGTCATGATGACATGGCTATTCCTACCAAGTATTCCCAAAGCTCACCGGAGAGGCCCTTGACCGCACTTGGTAACATGCCGCCAATCACGAGGAGGCCCTGGAGCAGGGACAGCGTTCTGGCTCCTGCAGAAAAGGATGACTCAAATCCTGCCATTCAAGGCAACATCACCATTCCTAGGCCACAGGGAAGAAAGACGCCTGAACTGGGGATAGTGCCACCACCACCAGCACCCAGGGCTTCCAAGCATCAGACTCCAGCTGGACCAGCTGACATCCTCACCACCCACACTACAGGACGTAGCCATTTGGTTTCAGATCTTATCCCAGAGCCCTTTGGAGTTGGCAGTGTGTCCTTAGACCCTGAAATCCAGCAGTCTGTAAATTACTCCTCTCATCCGTCTCAGCTTTTGTCCAGTGCTACCAGCACTGCTGAGATGCTCCAACCTGTCAAGGTGAAGACAGATAACACAGGTAACGAAAGCGACTACCTTCTTAATCTCCTGGATCCGTTAAAAACAGCCAGCTGGCAAAGCAGCGGCCCACAGCAAGGTCCCTGCGGCCTGCAAAGCTCAGCCGCTCCACCTTCTGCAGCTAGCTTTGTCTCGGTGGCAAGTGACTTTGTGTCTCCTCCAGCTGCACCATTTGTCCAGCCCCTTGGTTACCCTTCCCCAGCACCACCGCCTTTTTTACAGCCGTCTCCTAATCCATTTACGCAAACAGTGCCAGGAGCCCTTTCCGTGTCTCTAGTTAGACCCCCAAGGGGCTCTTTCACCCCCTCTTTAGGTCACGCTTATAGCTCTAGCTTCATAACACCTAATTCTAGCTTCTACCCACCACAAAGACCTCAACCAAACATTTCAACACTATCCATGCCAAACTTGTTTAGCCAGGCTCCAGCTGTGCCGCCAGCTGGCTCCTTACTGCTGCAGAGCCACAGCCCTTCTCCAGCAAGCTCTCTACAGCCGGCGTGTTTAAGTGGTCCTTCCAAAACCAGAACATTACAGGTGGGCCAGTCCAGCTCAAAGGTAGATCCCAAACAAGCACTAGCTCTCCTCTCTAATGACCCCCCTTTGGTCCCTTCCCGGCCAGCTAAGGGCTTAGAGGCAGTGTTACTATCCTCAAAACCTGAGGAGACAAAAGATCCGTTTGAAGATTTGTTAAAAAAGACAAAGCAAGACGTGTCATCCACACCAGGTAAGGTTGAACAGCTCAGAAAGCGATGGGAAACCTTTGAGTAACACTCCCAATGGCCTTTCGATGTCCCTTCGGAATTGACTGAGGGTTTTTTTGTTTTTTTGAGCCAGCATAAAACCAAGCATTTCTTTCATGGAAGGCTGAGCCAGGATACCTGCAGGACCATCACCGTGCTGCAATTCACACCCGAGTGCTTTTTGCCCAGAGTTCAGAGTCTCCCCATTGTCCCGGCCCCTGCCACTGCTTCCTCACTCTCCGCCTCTGAAACCCCCGTGACTCTTGCACCGACCAAAGCATGAGGGTAGCTGGGGTTGGGTTGGGTTGGCTTTGGTTTTCCACACGTAGCTTTTCAGACACTACTACTGATGCAGAAGTTACTCCTCCCCTGGTATTCCCAGTCCCAGCGCAGCCGGGAGCGTGGCACGGCCCATCGCACTGGTGTGTTCCGCCTGCCCGCGTGGATGGCGTGCAGGTTGTCCTGCGTTACACATACAACGTTTTGCTTTCACGTGCAGCAAGCAAACCCGGACTTGTGGGGCTGCACTGAATTAACCCGTCGGGCTCTCAGTTTGTCCTGTCTTGGCATACAGGCACTCGTTTAGGTTATCCTCTTGGGTGAGCTTTTGGTGCGGAGCTGTTATTTCCCTCCCCCAGTCCCCAGACACTGAGCGGTAACAGGGGCCTCTCTGGTGCAGAACTGTCACGACTCCTTGTTGCAACAGAACCATAGCACAGAGCGGTCGCTCAGGGTTTGGTCCTGCATCGCTGTTGGGAAACTGGAAACACCAGCAATTGATTTTCTTTTTTGGGTTTTTGTTTATTGGTTTGTTTTTGTTAAATACATCAGAAAATAGAGGCCATAAAGAGTATTCTAGTTCTTATATATGTGTATGTTAATATTATATATAAATATTATAGATGGCAGTATATGAATGGGATGTAACAATATCTTACTTGATTATTACAAACAAAAAAGAGAAAAAAAAAAAAAGGGGGTATGAAAGTCCCCAGCTCCTGAGTTCAAGTTAAATGCCGGCGTGCTGACGAGATGGCCTGGGTGCAGATCGACTGAAGCTCCTTCAGCCCGTCTGAAAACCCAGCCCTTGTCCCGCTGGCTGGGGAGCCGGCTGCGGTGTAACGAGACGTGAACTGGCCCGCGGCACGGACGGTGCGCACGAAGCACCAAGCTGCAGTGGAGAGGTTAAAGGGTACGGTCACTCTGATTTTCCAGACACTTACCTGTGGCAAGAGTAGTCTCAAGAAACTTCATCTTAATCTTAGCATCCCTTGTAAAACCTGCTGTCTTTGCAGTGATCGTTTTTGTTTTACTTAAGTGGTGCTTTTTTGTTTTGTTTTGTATTTGGGCACAATCTGATGTAAACCACGTTACTCTGGAAGAGGTAATCGCATCACCATTAAGCCTTTGATAAAGGAAATCATTTTGGACACATGGGGAAATTCTTGTAAAGCTTTATCTGATTTCCAATGTATCTATTTTATTCATATAATATCTTGGAAGTTTTCTTACTCTGGTGTATGAAAATGGCTGTCTATGCGTTTGAGTCTGTGCAATACAAAAGAAAAATACTCTTAATATCCGAAATGCCAACAGTTTGGGAAAGACCATGGTATTGCATTAATATTATATTGCTGTGAAGTACTGTTACTCTGACAAGCCATTCGGTTGGATTTGTATTTTCTTTTTGTGTTGGAAGGCAGATGGTTTTAGTATTGCATAGTAAAATATTTAAAGTCTAAGATAATAGCTCCATTTTATTTTATACCATCCAGAATGTGAACGTTATATATAAATTCAGTCTGGAATTTCAGGTCTCTCTTCCTATGAGCAAAATGCTAAAACGGTCTCAATCGCGGTGGCGATGCACAGGCAGCAGAAAGCTGTGTGTACGACATGCCATTTGGATTTCACGTACTCCTCTTTAAAATTTTTCATGTCACACACTGATTATCCGCTGAGGAGGCCTAGCACACGTGCTTAACTAACGAGAAAAACGCTCAGGTAATGCTGTATCACTGCAAATCGGTTTCCGTCTCTGATTATTTTACTCTATTTTATGCTGCCCATATTATGGAATATTTTAGGAGGTTGATTTTTAGACAAACAAGCGCTCTTGGACTTATTTTTTTAGGCTGGTTTGGGGCACTGAAAGGTATTACCGCTTCACACGAACAGCATTGATCAGCCTTGGCTTTATTTTGGGGGGGCTGAACACGCTCCCGGGGGCTGTGACCAGCCTCGCTTCTTCAACAGAATTTGCAGGGAGCAGACTGTTCTACCTGCTGCTCCTAACAAAGGAATCAAACTAGCCCTAGGGCAGTATTCAGTTTTTTGTCTTATTTAAACTCAGGAATTCCTAACATGATTCATTCCTAATAGTGCCAGGTGTGAACAGCGTGTGCTTGTCCGGGAGAGCAAGCTCGGGTGTAAAACATTGCTTTTTCTGATGTACAAGTATTTGTGATGTTTTTGCTAATCTAGTATAAGCAGTGGTCCTTTACGTCTTGTCTGATATTAGTCATCAATGACTTTCTGTTCAGCTTTGTACATTTTCCTGTACTCACCGTACCTGTTTGCTTGTTTGGTACCGCTCTGCTGATTTACAGATGCTGCTTCCATTAGAAATAACCTTTATTTAAAAAAAAACCACCACTCTCAAGTTTCTGATGCATCCGACGCTGCACAGGTGGTAAAACCAGTTTGTACCTTGTTCAGTCATTAGGTTAGAAACATTTTAGACACTGGAACTGGAAGCTGTTGAGACACACAGGACTCGGGGTGCTGAAGACCTTGCTCTCAGTACCTTGCGTACACGTTTTAATTACGAGAGGCTTGCGATTTCTCCGCACGTACTAGGGATTTTTTTTTTCTAACCTGCAATGAATGGCCGGAGCTGCTTACATATTCCCCCCTTTTTTAATGTGTGTGGAAAAAAATCAAGCAGGAGAGTGACACCTGGCCAGTTCTCTTTCTGGTTAGGCGGGGGTTAGCGTCCGTCAGTAACAGACGACTGCAGTATTTCGGGGGAGATTAAGATCCCTGTAACCAGCCCCGGGGAACCACTGATTCAGCGACGCCCTGAAGAAAGACGTGAGTGCGTAATGTTTCTTGTTACACGGGAGCGTTTCATGCACTGTCTTCAAAAGCGCACGGAAGTAACTGCGAGCTAACTGCTTCCTGAGCTCCGCTTGCACTGTAGGATTTAGTCTAGTCTACTTGTAATATTTTTGCGTGTGTTTTGCTCCTTGTGCGCTCACCACACAGGCTTTATGATCAAGCTGATTGTTCCAACATCAGCAGATTAAATTGGTTAGTCGGGAGCACGCAGGCTGGTGGTTGCTGCTCCTTACCACGTCCAGGTTTGGGAGGGGGGAAAAATTTTTTTTTTTTTTGCTTTGCTTCTAAGGGGGGGAGGTTAACAGCTTTAGGTATTCGCAAAGCGCAGACAGGAGCTGCTGCAGTCCCACCCTGTCCGTTGGGAAGGGCAATAGGTCACAGCGATGGCCGAGACAAACTTCTGACAACGGGAACTGCAACTGAGCACAGGTCTGGGACAATCCTGTCCGTTTTCAAGTGGCTCCGTGGAACGGCATCGTAAACCAACAGTGAGCACCGTAAAATTAATTGCTTGCCGAGAGTTACAAACTTGGTCAGAGCAGGGCCTCTATAAAATCTCACCATTCATTCACTGGAAGCATAAAGATGGAGCAAGGGCACCTGACTATGGGTAGAGCTCCCTTTGCTCCATGAGCGATGTAGAAATTCCCTGTGGCAAGTTCGCTTAGGTTATTGCCAGAAACCCTGCGCATTCTCCCCGAAGGCTTGGGAGTTGTGTTCCCAGGGACATAAACTGACGTGTCTGCTGTCTTTCGTAGCCGGAACCCCGTGTCAGTCTCGGCCCATTGCACCCTAGCCTGTGGTTTTGACTGTCTCTGGTTTCAGGCTCACCTGGTCGGGTTTAGCGCAGCGTTCGCTCGGTGCCAAAGCGACCGTGTGGCGGCAGGGTGGACGTGGAGCTGGATTATTTCTGAGGTGGGCTAGTCTCTGGGTGGAGGCTTTCATTTCACTGTGCAGGGACATCTACAGTTCCCAGCAATCGCTGCAGCCGTTTGAATTACACTCAAGTCATGTTTTTCCACCTTCTGATCTCCTTTCCGTCTGCTGCTTGGCTTCAGCAGGCTGCTGGCACTAAGCTCTGCCCAGGCGCCCGCTCTCCCACCCGGACAGGGCTCCAGCTCGTCCTGCAGCTCCGCTACCGCGGTAACGACCGCGGCGTGCATCCGCTCCCGCGTTCTCCCTGCGCCGGAGGCTGCTGCTCCTCCAGCAGCGGAGTTCTGCTGCGGCAGTCATCTGTCCTGACGTGTGCCACGGGATCCAGTGGCTGTTAGGCATTTCATGGCTCTACCCCACTGATTTTTGCCTCTTTGCTCGTAAAATAAGGGACGAAGGGTAAAATGTAACAGCACCTGCTTCAGTACAGGTGAACAGAAAATGCAGCAGGTTTTGACAGCTCCCTTGTAGAACAGATTTTTACTGGCTGCTGTGCAGATCTGCTTCGTTCAGGTCTACGCTCAGAGCTCTGGTGTGTGGCAAATAAAAATAAGCAGAAATTTAATAAAATTTTAACTGTAAAAGAGGCACCGAGGTTTGCAGCTGTGCAAACTGTGTGTTACAGACCAAAATCAGCCAGCTAGACATCAAGTCACTCTTCAGGAGAAAAAAAAAAAAAAAAAGAAATCCCAAGTCAAGGTAACTAGCTCTATTTTTAACTAAATTTTATTGTAAATTTCTTTTGAAGGACATTCTAATTTTTTTACAAATTATAAAATTTACAATTACAAAAGAAATCAGGATCATGATCATTAACTACAGCAAATCCAGTTTCGTGAAAAAATATATTCAAAAATTAAATATCAAAAGGAAGTTAAGTTCATTATTGAAAAAAAACTTTCATAAATTATTTTGCAGAAATGCGCAAGACACTGACGAAGTATTTTAACACTTTTGCTAGTACTGGCTTTGGGT